GCTGTCCTATGGAGGACGCAGTGACAGACAAATCCGGAACCGGATGCTGCCGACCATCTATCATAGCATTATGTGAGTGGATAACCTATAGAAATAACGAGCTGCTAAACATTTGTGGCTGACTTGTTATTATCTGAATAGGACCAGCGACAGTTTCGACCTTAAGCATATGAATCACCTAACAATTCCCTGAATAATTAGCAACCGAAATGTTCCAATGCATTCCAACAATTCACCTTCACACGAACCACTCGTGAGCGTTCGGTGACATCGATCGGCATCAACGAGCCACCCAAGCGTCGTGGGCCGTCACGTGATAAGCCATCATTTTGAATCAGACGCAACCTAGCCGAGCACTCCAATGCCCTACGCAAAAGTGGTTCGTTTTGGATCTCTATTCTTGTCAGTGACTACAATTTGCTTAGTCCTCCTCAAGGTAGCATCGCGTGACACAACTGTTAAGATAACTTATCCATCCCATTGGTATGAAAGCCGATCGGAGTTTGGATTCCCGTTTCATTTTAAAGCATTCTACATGCCTGTGTTCGCCGATTGGAAGACCAACTCGCCCAACTTAAAAAGCTGGCAGTATTTGAGCACTGGGAACTACGAAGTTCCGCGTTATGTGAAGGAGGGATTTTGGATACCGGACGGCTTCAAGTAAGACACTGGTGGTACTGACCTCATTTTTCCAATCAAATTAATTTAATGTCCAGCGTTTGCGCAGCGTTGTTGCCTAAATCTTCTTTTCCTAAGTGGCTCTGTCTACTTTATCAATAACAACAACAAGTTCAACGCTGACATGCTTACTTTAGGCTACTCGGACACATGCTTCTCATTTGGTGCAGAAACCTGCAGTGTAGGTAATTTTTCGCTCCCTTTACACTTTTCCTCCGGGAAAGAACAGGATGTTCGGAGCAAAGTATTACTGTACAGCTTCTTCATCACGGATTATTTTCATCGGACTTCAGCTGGGGTCAGTGGCATTGTTGAATACTCTGGATTCCGCAATGAGGCCACCTTGGCTATCAGGTCGGACACCGCACCAGGTGTATCAAACCGCCGAAAAAACGAGTAGTTCACATTCACTCCGTTTTGTTACCTGAAGGGTGATACTGTCTCAAACAATGCCAGCTGTGTGATCTGATACACTCTAGACACCGGCGTCTAATTAGTTGGTAAGGCTTTACTGAATTAGGGCGCTGTGTTACTATTGATGGATTATATCAGTGAGCCTGCCCTTCATAGGGTAATGTTCGCACATTTTAAGAAGCCACCGTTAGCTGTACTGTAACCACGACTTTTGCGCCCAACAAAAGACCTCGGTTTCAAAAGGAATTTTCTGTGCTGAGGCGCCCCTTATAGAGCGATACTATTAACGAGCTTTACCTGTGTCCCATACCTTCGCTCTGGATGTCGGAGACAAGAGTAGGTCATTGTGTTTAACACTTCGTTGCCTTGACTGCGTTTGTTGAACTTGTTTGTTCATGCCTTTAATATACTTATACTGGCTGCTCCCTTGGTTATGACTTTGGCACCAATTGTTCCATCCCGCATGACTCAGCGGCAGTCGTGGCCTCCTCGACGCTTCCCGAAGCCAGTATGATGTACCCACCTTTCATTTGGCTGGTTGGACTATGTTTAACTGACCATTGGTTGTTTGGAACACTTCTGATCTGTAGGCTGTCCGTTTTACACTTTCTGCGTACCCATAGGCACATTCCGTTACCTGCTACTTGGTAAGTCAGTACTGATGTCAATAAACTGCTGCACACAATCTGTGGTACACTGGCGTAAGACTTTTTCTTCTCAAAGTCTGAGCTTTATCGTTTGCACTTTCTTTTGTATTTTTTTCTTTCGCTTGCCTGTGTCCTCTCTTTCAAGTCGGTAAATCGTCTTTATCTTTTTATGTTAACTACGCGTAGAGTCATGACAATTCGATTCACTTCACTCCTGCGTTCACATCACCACTGCGCAAATCGCTATAAAAGGGCCCACTGAAGGTGGCAGGTCGGCTAGCTATCTGGTTGAAGTCGCCTAATTGCAAGGTCAGCGGATGTTAAACCTTAGTTGCTTGACTTCGATTGATCCTGACAGAGTCAGTCATTGCACTTAACAGTACGAAGCAAGCTCGTACGGATGTGACCCTTCTCGGACTTGCATTAAATGTAAGTACGGTGGGCGAGTTTAATTGCCTCCTTTTCCCATTCGCCTTACCCTAGTATTGAAGATATATGTGACAAACTTCTGCTCGGCGGACAGTGATAAAGACAATTGTATCTGCCTCAGCTGGTGCCCTTGTCTTGCTCTGCTTTAGCGTTTGCTTTGGTAGCGAGAAGCTAATAGTGCATCACATAAAACATGGCATCAGATATCCGAGTCAAAGCTTGTCCATATATATATTATATATATATATATATATATATATATATATATACGTATGCATCTATATACATATATATCTAGTCTGATTGTCTTTCGCTCTTTTCCAGACAATTCTGTGTTCCCGAGGCTACATCACTTTCATACGCTGATCTCATTAACCTGTTCACTGGCGAAGATTTGGCCAAGGACATTCATTATTCAATCAGGCAACAGTTCACCATGAGTGGAAAATATTACGATCAAGGATACTTTACTATACTGTATTATCTGCTCAACTTGTGTCAGTGTTTGCGAAAAAGAGTGAGTGTGGTCCATTTCGGTTTGATTAGTTTTATTGGAGGCGTCGTTCCCGTTTTTCATATTTATTCCCCTAATGAACATAATCACAGCATATTGTGACTAGCAACGGTGACCCAGTTAGTAGATCTGATTGCAACGACATTGGATCTTAAGAGGGTGCAATGAGTTGTGTCTCTCTATGATTTACTGAGCTACTGGGGACTGTGTTTCCGAAGCACTCTCAGTGCTACACATACCGGACAGGTCAATGGCGACAAGTCAGACTCACTCCCACTAGTGAGTAGATGATTTTCTGACGAAAGATTACTGGTTTCTTGTTAATGTAGCGCACCACTAACAAGTTCCAGTAGTGCGAAACTGCCATCGGTTACTTCTCAGTTTGGTGCTAGACAACCTGCCTTATAAGCTGCTGGAACGAATAAGTAAAATACATTCCTCACCAGGTGCTTGAAAGAAGTTGATGGCCCACCTCCATCTACTGATGGGCAAGCAATATGTTAGTAAAAACCCAGCTCTAGTGGCTTAGAACACGAGCGTCCCACGGTGGGTGAGACCCACCACCCGGTTCAGGCCTGGCAGCTCCTGATCAACATAGCAAACTGGCCAAATCTTATCAACGGTTGACCGTTGTGACAGTTACGCCGTTTATTACGGTTGCGCAAATTATAACATTTTTAATTTTTTTGGTTTACATGTGTGTTATAACGCTGTACCCGCAATCGACCGGTTGATTCACGTCTGTTGCTTAATCTGCGCCCTTACGCCTGCATTGTTTGACGCCTTGACAAACCCGACAGGAAGAAAGACGAAAGAAGATTCAGCAGACCAGAGTTGTATTAGGACCGAGAACGCTCATATTTATACGTCGGCCTCAGTAATCCTCTAAACATCGCCTGGCGGAGTTAGCTGTAAGCCCACGCTCCACACTTGATTGTCCGCTCCGTCTGGCCAGTTCGACGTCTTGCTCGGGCACGCCAGTCTTCATCCGCCTACCCGGGGCAAGGCAACGCACATGAGATCTGACGCGCGATTTCATCAGCTTTCGGCTGGGCCCCGGCTCGGACGAGCAGACATGAAACGACGTCTATTGGCTGGTCTCACCGTCCAATATAAAGGTCAAATGGGGCATTCGTGAATAACTAAAGCTCAGGTTGCTTTGAGCAAGTCCTACACCCACATTCTTATCGCGAGTGACTTAAACGTGCATGGCATAGAAATGCCGGCAACCGACGGTACGCAGTTTAAAGCCTATTTGCAAGATCTTATTGCTAGCCACCCTCTTTACAACCACGTAACCTCTCCCACCAGATTTCGAACTTCTAACAAGCCGTCGATACTGGATCTTGCGCTTACTAACGAAGAACTCATGGTTGGCGGGATAGTTACAAGCACACCACTGGGTCGTAGTGATCATGTTACTCTACTCTTTGACTATGTTTGCTATGCGGAGTACCCTGAAAAGGAGGAGGATAAAGTGCATACTGTCACACACTACGATGTGTTGTCTAAGCTTGTTAAGGATGCATCTTGGACTTTCTTAACCGAATGCCCACCAGATGTTGCCTGGGAAACATTTACAAGGACGTTTAGTACACTGGTAGTGCACGCATCAGAACAGAAGTCCTTCCAACCTAAAAACAAGCGTAATTCATTTCTGAGGAGCAGGACACGTAAATAGATTTGGCATGGCGAGATCACCAGGACTGCTCGAACGCCGAAATCTGGACTGCATACGTGACCCATCGTAACTTCTGTGTGAAACTGATCCGCGAAGACAAGGTCACTCATCAGCAGAAGTTAATGAAGAGATTCTGCACTAACCGCAAACTCCTGTACAGGCACGTTAACGGCCTTCGAAAGGTGAAGCGGGGGGTTCCGGCGCTAGTCACGGCTGATGGGTGCACGCGATCAGCAATGGAAGCAGCTGATCTCCTACGGCTTCATTACTCCCGAACTTTCCAGGAGGTAACGAGCGCAAACATTCTCCTCATTTCTAATACTCCACCATCTGGTTTAGAAAACACCACCTTCACTGCGGAAGCTGTGTTGAAGAAGTCGCTACCCTTGCGTATCCACAGTTCTCCCGGAGCTGACAGCATCCGACCAAAGGCTCTACAGGCAGTAGGTAGTGATCTAGCAGCACCCCTGGCTATTTCCTATCAGCGATGTCTAGAGGAGAACCGTATTCCACCAGTATGGAAGCGAGGGGTCATCGCTCCTATTCATAAAGGAGGTAGCCGCACTGATCCTGCCAACTACCGTCCAATAACACTACTTCCAGTACTATCCAAAGTGATGGAATCAATCATCGCAGATGCGCTGATGGAATACCTGGAAAGCCACAATTTAATAGCCCCAGAGCAACATGGCTTTCGTCAAAAGCATTCGTGTAATACTAACCTATTAACTGCACGTAATAGCTGGACTGAAGCTGTTGATGATGGAGTAGGGTCGATGTCATCTACCTGGACTTTCAAAAGCATTTGATTCGCTTAAACCATCGCATTCTCCTTCACAAGCTTCGGAATTACGGCATTGGCGACCCAATCCTGAGTTGGATTGACAATTTTCTACAAGAACGACGGCTAGTGGTGAGAGTCCGAGAATCATTGTCTGATGCAATCGTTGTGGCGTGCGGAGTACCACAAGGCTCGGTTCTTGGACCTCGTCTATTCTTGGTGTTCATTAACGATTTGGCGAGATCAATTACTTCCGATTTCCTATTTTTCTCTGGTGATATAAGATATGGCGAAGGATCAGAGGATCGGAAGACCATGAAGGGCTCCAGTGCGATCTTAACACAGTGTCGAACTGGTCACTTCAAAACGCCCTACCGTTCAACGTAGACAAATGTCGCGTCGTACAATTACGCCATAGACATAACTACACCTATTCACTTGGGATCAACGGACTGCAAAATAGCTCCCAGGAACGTGACCTGGGTGTGCTCGGACAGAGCAACCTCAACTGCTCAAAACAGGCTGAGGTAGCTGCGAAAAGAGGCAACCAGCATGTCGGCATGCTGCGAAGAGCATTCGGGAGATTTGACCCATCAATCTTCCCAATGATGCACAATTCCTACGTGCGCCCGCATGTTGAGTACGCTATCCAAGCTTGGCAACCTTGGTTGAAGCGTGAGCTAGAAGCGATAGAGACACCACAACGGAGAGCAACAAAGAATGTGCAGGGTCTGCGCTATCACTCTTACCAGCGAAGGCTGAAGTTGCTGGGAATTTTCAGCGGGCGCTATCGAAGACTGCGCGGTGATCTCATATTAGCGTATCAAATATTGAGTGACCCCAACCACGTATGTCGCCATTTGCTGAAACTTAGCCACAACACGCAGCTCAGGGGTAACTGCCTAAAGTTGAAGGAACAATACAGCCGTCTAGAGTGTCGACGGAATTACTTTTCCCTTCGGGTTTGCAAACCTTGGAACGCACTCCCAGACTCAGTTGTATCCTCTCCTACCTTGGATGTTTTCAAAAAAACGATTAGATGTTGCTCTTAGCTCCCAACATTTTGTTACCTAAACTCCCCTACTGTGGATTACGCCAAGCATGCTTTTCAACAGGATTTATGTATCAAATGGACCTAAGTGAGCGACTATATTTTACTTTTCTCACTCTTTACCTCAATGATCACTGCACCCCAGTGTCTTTCTGAACGTTTACGCTCGATAATTTATTTTAATTTTACACTGATGTTACTTATCAAACTATTCATCGCGGCAGACGTTCGATAGATGACCCAGACATATTTTGATTTCATCATATTCATCTCAACCATCCTACGGGTCGTGTCAAGCACTTGCTTTTATCCCGTGATAAATCATTGTTCATTGTTCATCCATAAGGGTCACCTTGCGACCAATCAAGTATTGCCTCTCTCGTGCTAACTGGCCAGTTCACCCAATCCGCTACCTATTAGTGCAATCGATGCGGGGTAGCGACGGCTCACCGGCCATGTCTTGGTTCCGTATCGGCGATCGGCGCCTCGACCGCTTGTCTAGAGATTTCCTTCTTAACAGGGTATCAAAGCAAATTCCAAGGATGAAGACTAAGACCGTTAATTTCAATCCTATCAGTGTGACAGTGTTTATACAGGCGAGCCGTGGATACTGCATCCACCTAATACGGTAAAAAAATAAGGTGTCAACTGTACTCCGTAAAGGCGCTTCGCTGCCGTGTGACCACTACCAATGCTATTAAATGGAAACAACGGCTTTGGTGTCCGACGCTTCAATGGACTAGCGTTTATGCTAACCAGTTGTAACGGTAGGGGTTAAATAAGATGGAAACGTCAAAACAATGGCAAAGTTGAACAAGGTGGAGAAGAAAGCAGAACAACACTGGTCGTTCATCCGACTCGGTTTTGGTTATGTTCATGATTTTCATTGCACATTGTATGATATATAGTCTTTTGCATTGTGAATGACTCAACTGTTTTAACTGTTGAGAGAAATGTGTTTAGTAGATAACGGAACACCCGCCGGAACCCGAAGGATCCTAAAGATAATAGAGGTCTGTTTCAGATGGTTGCATATCTACTAAAGCAGAACTTTGAGCACGCTTTAATGCGCCATATAAATTCTGGAAGGGTGAATACTTTGTTTTGTTTTCTGTAAAAAAATGTGTTGCGATTAAAGCGAATAACTGGGCCCGAAATATTCGACGTATTACATAGCAAACTAGTGACACGTTAAAGCAATCTGCGCCAAATCTGGTAAAGATTATCTTTACACCATATCCTGCGTAAGACTTTGAGCAAAACCATGAACCAATCTCGTAAATATGTTTGCATGCTCTCCAAGAAAAGTAAAAGGTAATTCCTAACTGTACAGTAAACA